TATAAATTTGCATCGTCCCAGGGGTGTATTCAGTTGATGTTTTCAATACCTTACCTCACCAGCACCACAGCACAATTGCTAATAAGGATTTATGGATTCTAACAACCACCACAACCACCATGGTGTCCTTATGTTGAGTTGCTTGTTATTGTCGTATTGTCTATATAGTATCCTTAGTCATTTGAATTTTATGATGTACATATAGTGTTAACACCCTCTTCAGGATCGTTGAGATCTTCTCGAGGCGGCTGCAGGTGCAGGAGAGGCTCACCAAGCAGATCGCGCTGGCGGTTACGCAGGCGGTGCAGCCGGCAGGAGTGGCGGTCGTAGTCGAAGGAGTGTGAGTAGAAAAAATAAATAATATATATACATACATACATACATGTATATATATATATATATATACAGGGCCGGTCCTACCTTGAATGCGATGCATGCAAAAAATGCGGGTGCACGCCTTAGGGGGCGCCAAAACGAGATTTGGATATGAAATTTATAATATACTTTTTTCAATATCAATCAAGAAATATATACTTTTCTTGCATCTTTTACTAATCTATGGACAATATTTTTAAAGTACGTTAAAAATTTCACTTTCAAACAACAAATGGGAAAGTTAGGTGAAATTAAAATACATACAATTTGTTCCTTACGATATCAATTAGGAGAAGTTTACGATGCACTTTTGGATATTTTAATGAAAAATTTTGGAATAATGAAAAATTAAATTAAAATAATCCAACATGAAGTACCAGTGCTATGTTTAATAATGATTTGCTCAATAGAATAAATTGCATAAAATCCTCAAAAAAATTAAATAAAATCAACCAAATATTAATATTACGCATGCGTTGGAAATTGAAAATTTAAGAATATTCTTGCAAGCAATAAATAACATATTGAAATTTTTGGATGTGTTGAAAAGTTTGGATTGAAAATAAAAATTAAAAAATAGTTTGGTAGTGCGATAACGATAGAAGACACAAAAATTTGATTGAATTGCCTCGATCTTCTGAATAATTTTAAAATCAATGAATTTTTGCGCTTTTAGTTTACATATATCTAATTTTTGTGCACTAAGCACAGAATTATTAAAAAGTATTATAAAAAAATTAATGTAAATTTTTGTATAATTTTAATGATGAACTGTTAAAACAGTTAAAATAACAGGGGGGGCGCTAGAAAAATAATGGCATGCGGGCGCTTAGGATCCCAGGACCGGTCCTGTATATATATATATATATATATATATATATATATATACTAGCTGACCCGACAGACGTTGTCATTCAAAAGTTCCACTTTTTTAATATCCTATCCTATACTTTTTAATATCCTATTTGATGTCTTGCCTTTGTGATTTATTTATGGTCTTAGCGTAAACAGTACAAGAAATTCAGAAAAAAATAATATAATATCTAGGGTAAAGGTACAATATCACCTTGGATATTTTCACTCAAAATAATTGCTTCAATAATTTAGTCTATAATTTTCATAATCTCGATATATTAGTTGCTTTTTGGCAATTATAATTTCTAAAGTACATTTTTTTTACTAATAATTTAATAAACATTATTGTTTTTGTTCAAATCTTAGGCGAATTAATTTGTAAAATCTAGTTCATATGTGCACTATTCAATCTAAGATCAACTAACTAAATATTTCCAATCCAATATCAAACAAATTAATTTTTAACACATGAAACAAAATTCTAAATATTTTTTTAATAAGTAGACATGTTTTTTTGTATTATTAAATAATTTAGTAAAGTAAACCAAAATGCGACATACTTAAGTTTAAAAAAAATAATGTATACGCAATTTTGGACTTGTTGAATTATTTATAAAACTGAATTATATAATTGCATCTGCCGAACAATATACTGTTGACTGTATCTCATATTATTTTAATTTCTGGCACATCTCAGCTGCTTTTCAGCAATAATTTTAATAGGATATTAAAAAGTATAGGATAGGATATTAAAAAATTTGGAACTTTTGAATTGTAGACGTGGGTACGGGTACGGGACGTCTGTCGGGTCAGCTAGTATATATATATATATATATATATATATATATATATATATATCTATTATCTTTTATCCAGGCACATGTGCATGGTGATGAGGGGTGTCCAGAAAATCAACAGCAAAACCGTAACATCAACAATGTTGGGAGTCTTCAGAGACGATCCAAAGACCCGAGAGGAATTTTTGAATCTCGTACATTCCAAGTAATTATAGTTTTACAAAAAAAATCAGAGCATGAGACAGAATGAAATTTATAGTATTCGATGCAAACTTTGTGTTCTAAATGAATGAATTTTGCAGTTAAATGTAAGTAAGCGGTTCAAGTCTTTGGAAGATGTTGAAGTCCGAGTTGTCTTTTTATTAATATTTATACTAAAACGTGGTAACAATTTTATTCATGAGGTAAAGATGATAGTAATATATATATATATATATATATATATATATATATATATAAATCTCGTGTCACGATGTTGGTTCGCGATGGACGCCCGAACTACTGAACCGATTTTGAATTTTATTGGCTCATCGTGTGCATATATATCCAACTTAGGTTATAGGAAATTTTGAAAAGTAAATTTGAGATATAAATATATAATTTTTATATATTTCTAAAAATTTTGACAGAAAATGGCCAAAAAAACAAACAAAACACTAAAATGACAAATGTCAAAATTTAAGGAAATTTCGATATATAATTTTTGAAAAAAAAATTTGGCATTTCAAAAAATAAAATTCAAAAGCATGTACATATATAGAAATATCCAACATTTAAATCCAAATTTGATGAAATGCTATATTCAAAATCACTGTTTATAGTTTTAAATCTAATTAAAAATCAGTGCTTAAAAATTTGAATAAATGTTGACATGTAAAAAAATTAAATGTCATTTGTCTATGAAAATAATTATATAAATTACGATTTAGATTTAATTGATTAGTTTAACAAATTATTTCGGAAACCAAAACTTCATCAAAACATTATAAATCAGAGATCACAATAAAAAAGCGACATATTGAATTTAAAATTAATCATAAACAAAATTTTGACATTTCACAAAAAAATGTTTAACGACTTACTTCAATAAGAAGCAAATAAATTAATTATTCCAAGTTATGTTATAGGCAATATTGCCAAGCAAATTATAGATACAAAACATTATTGTAAAATAAATATTATCATATTATATTAATTTTGGACCAAGAAGGAAATATTTTGACATTTATAAATTTAGTGCATATTGGATATATGAAATTGACATTCACTATTTTTCAATTAAATGCAAATGTAAAAAAACAAATATTTATATAAAAAATTGTATATTTAGATAAAGATACTGCGTTGATTTAGACTAAAATTTAATTTATTCTTTAATTAAAAAAAATTGACATAAACAAAATTAAAATAAACAAAATACAATGATGCGAGTGAATTAATTTTTGAAGTATGAAATGTCAAATATTTTTGAAAATTATAACAAGTTTTCAACTATTTGTCAAAGAATCAGAGTCCAAATTCATTAAATATTTGATTTTTGGCACTTTTATTAATTTTTTATCAATTTAGGCATATTTTTTATGGCAAAACAACGTTTGCCGGGTTAGCTAGTATATATATATATATATATATATATATATATATAAATATACTGTACATTATAAATTTGTGTCCTTTATTCTTATGAATAAAATTGTTCCACAAAACAAACATACACATGATGGGAACAAAAGTAGATATTTAAAATTTAAAACAAATTCTTTATGACAAAAAATCATTAGGATTTAGTTTAGAATTTAAGTAAATTAATTTATTTTTCTTGATTTTATACTAAAATAAAGTTTAACTAGTACTTAATTTTAACAAGACACATGGCAGAAATTTAGGTTAATGGGTATGTTGCAATTTTAATAAAAAAAAATACTTATATGTATGTATTAGGGTGATCTTTAATATGTAAATTTTATATATATTTTATATATTTTCGAATTTCTTTGCTCCCAAGGGCTCAAATGCTTCCAAATAAATAAAAAAAAATCCTGTAAATGTTTCAGCTCTTAATATTAACATTTAAATAGTCCGCAATTCAATTAAAAGTTTCGTATATTCATTATTAACATTGCGGACTATCTAAATGTAAATATTCAAAGCTAAAATTTTTAGAGGATTTTTTTGTATTAATTTGTAAGTGTTTAAGCCTTTGGGAGCAAAAAAAATTGATAATGTCTATATTAAGGACCACCCTAATGTTTATTTAAATTAGCTTTTCTAAAATATATATATACAAATGATTGTTGTTAATAAAAATGTTATTGTCTGTGCAATAAATGAAAAAATATATATTTTAATGTTAAGATAATATTAAAGTTTTGATGATAAATTTATCTGTGTTATACTATGGAAATGTAACAATCAATAATTTATAAGATTCATATATATATATATATATATATATATATATATAATTAGCACATAAGAATTTATTTATATTTATTTTCAAATTAATAATGTGTTCTTCTATCATGTGATTCCTTCATAATTTCTATCTTCTTGCCTTACGAATTAATTATTTAAATTAATCAAATTAGAGATTCAAATAAGTTCTTGACAATCTGTAACTTAATAATACAATAATTGTTAATATATAATATACAATAATTGTTACTCAATATATATTTATATATATAACTGACCAATAATTGTTGAAACGGTTATGAGATACTAAATAATGTTCCAAATAAAATGTGTTATTAAAGTTGAGGGATGAAACTTTTAATTATAATATGATATATATATATATATATATATATATATATATATATATATATATATATGTATTGTTGTTTATCAATTTATGTATTTCATTTATCATCTTTTGAATTTGAATTTCGCGCCAAAGGTTAAATGTAAAAGTTCACGTCGATCAGCCATTGACAGTGAATAAAACATTTCTGCAAAAATATTATTTGTGCAAAAATGAAGTCATTATTAGTGTTATTAATAATTGTGAAAGCTTGTGCGGCAAATAATGTGTTAATTACAACTAATTCTGAAATAAAACCAATTGTTATTTGGCATGGAATGGGTAAGATTATAAATAATTTTTTTTTTAGGTTATGTTGTAAAATTTGTTTAAAACTGAATGTATTTTATATTTTGTACTAAAAGAATGTTATAAGTAGTTTTAGTTAATGTCTATTATTAGTATGATACTGTATATATTTATATTATTTGAGTTTAGATGAGGGCAAGTGAAATGAAGTTGTGATATTGGTTTTTAATGTATATATATTATCTTTTTCCTCTAGGGGATAGTTGTTGTTTCCCCTTCAGCATAGGAGGTTTTTCAAAACGACTCCAAGAGAAACTCTTGCCCGGTGTTTACATTCATTCGATAAGAATAGGAAATAATGAATTCGAAGATGTTGAAAATGGTTTCTTTATGTCTCCGAACAAGCAAGTCAGATTGGCGTGTGAAGCTATACAGAATGATCCACACTACAAGATGGTTATAACGCTTTAGGATTTCTCTCAGGGGGGACAATTTTTGTAAGTAAACAGTAAATGACTTAGATATTGAGATAATTAATTGTAGAAGATTGATATATATATATATATATATATATATATATATATATATATATATATATATATTAGAAAAGTAGAAAATGGTGGATTTTTTATATAAAATGAATAAAATTGTGGAAAAAATAATGTACAGAAGTATCGCAACATAATTAAAATGAAAATGATAAAAATAAATAAGTGGATTATATAACAAAATATTAGAAATGTTAACAAATTAGAAAATTTTTGAAAGTTTACCTGTATGATTGATTATAGTCTAACACCTTTTCACTAAAAACGATTTTATCAAAAAAAGTGATTTTATAAATTTCTTTTCAATCAAAGAAACAAAATTTGTAATTATTTTAAGATATGTCTTATTTAGTTTGTTATGTGAGACAAAAAGTATTGTTTCCTCGAAGTTACGATTTTTGATGTTTTAGTTTTCTTGTCAGTAGAGTCCCTTATTCCTTTAAATTTTCTTATCGCCAGTAGAGTCCCTTTTTGCGTTGAATTATAATTTGATTGCCAGTAGAGTTCCTACTTCTCTTAATATCGTCAATAGGATCTTTTTTTTGTTTTAAGGGTCAGTAGAGTCCCTTTTGTCGCTCCCATTAAGATTTAGTTTGCTCGTTAATAGAGTCCTTTTTTAATTTGATGGCCAGTAAAGCTTTTTTTTAAATTTTATTTTTGGCTTTGCTCGTCAGTAGAGTCCCTTTTTTCGTTAATTTTTAATTTTGATCATCAGTAGAGTCCCCTTTTTTTTCAATGTTAATTTTGATCGTCAGTAGAGTCCCTTTTTTCTTTCAATTTTACTTTTGCTCGTCAGTAGAGTTCTTTTTTTATTTTATTTTTAGCTTTGATCGTCAGTAGAGTCTCTTTTTACATTAACTTCTAATTTGCTCCTCAGTAGAGTTTTTCTTTACATTTAAATTTACTCGAAAATACTTCTTTTTTCTTTCAATTTTTGTGTTGCTCATCAGTAGAGTCTCATTTTAATTTTTTTTTGTTTTGCTCGTCAGTAGAGTCCCTTATTAATTTTATTTAAATTTTGATCGTTAGTAGAGTTTTTTTCCGTTAATTTTTAATTGGATCGTCAGTAAAGTCCCTTTCTTTTAAATATGATTACTCTTTTTTCCAATTTTCTGGTTGCTCGTCAGTAGAGTCCCTCTTTATTTTATTTTTAATTTTAGTTTTGCTTGTCAGTAGAGTCCTTTTTTCCGTTAATTCGTAATTGGATCGCCCGTAAAGTCTCTTTTACCTTTGATTTTGAATATGATTCCTCTTTTTTCCAATTTTCTGGTTGCTCATCAGTAGAGTCCCTTTCTATTTTATTTTTAATTTTAGTTTTGCTTGTCAGTAGAGTCCTTTTTTCCGTTAATTTTTAAATGGATCGTCAGTAGAGTTCCTTTTACCTTTCATTTTAAATATAATTCCCCTTTTTTTCAATTTTCTGGTTGCTCGTGAGTAGAGTCCCTTTCTATTTTATTTTTAATTTTAGTTTTGCTTGTCAGTAGAGTCCTTTTTTCCGTTAATTTTAAATTTGATCGTTAGAAGAGTCCTTCTGACTTTCATAGTGATTTATTTGTATTTTAGGCGATCCTTAGCTCAGAGATGTAACGGACCACAAATGTACAATCTTATAACTTTGGGTGCTCAACATCAAGGTGTCTTTGGGGCACCCTATTGTCCGGCAGTTCATCACAGTAGTTGCGAGTATTTTAGAAAATTGTTGACTCAAACTGCTTATATAAGGTATATAATAAATACATATATATATATATATATATATAAATATATATATATATATATTTATCTATCCTTTCCCCCAGGTGGGTCCAAAAGTCTTTAACCCAAGCAACCTATTGGCACGATCCTCTAAACGAAGACAAATATAAAAACAGCAGTATATTCTTAGCTGATATTAACAATGAACGTGACTACAATGTTGATTATGTAACAAAATTGTCATCATTAAATAAATTTGTGATGGTTAAATTCAATTTCGACACAATGGTGCAACCGATTGCTTCGGAATGGTTCGGGTTCTATAAGAGTGGACAGGATGTCGAGATTGAGGACTTGCATAATAGTAATATTTATTTAGAGGTAACAGAAATAGTAATAGGAACTAGATGAAAATTCTATATATATTATATATTTTATCTTACCAATTCTAATACCAACCTATGTTTACACCTTTCTTCTATTTTAGGACAAGTTGGGATTAAAACAAATGGACGAGGATGGTAAATTGTACTTTTTGGATGTAAATGGAGATCACTTGAGATTTACTGAGGAATGGTTTATTGAAAATATCATTCCCTTCTTAAAGGAATAGTTTATGTAATTATACATATAATTATTAGACTGAATATTTTCGGAGCATCAAATTTTGTGATCAATTTTTTTCTTAGGATATAAGGTGCAAGATGTTTTTATTTATTTATACATACATACAAACATATATATATATATATATATATATATATATATAATTATATATTTTGTGAATGCTTAGGATAGAATACAATGTATGAGTGAATTATATTAATATATATTATAATGATTAAAAGGAGTGTATGGTGTTATATTTTATTTTGAGTTGTGTTGTATTGTTTATGCGAAAATTACAATAATTGTTTTGATAATGATTTTTATATCTCTTGGTGAAAGTCCCAAATTTCTATTTTTTGGTCTTAACTTTTAATAATCATTATTTCTCCAACAAATATAATTGATAAATTTTCTAAGTTTTGGAGTTCTATTTTTATTATTAAATTCATTGATAATTTTATGAAATTTAATACCTTGACCATTGAAATTTATCAATTAAAATGCATCTGTTTATCTTTGACTAGTAGACGCCCACTTTTTGAAGCAGTTGTGGACCACACGTTTTTTTGAATAGTATATATATATATATATATATATATATATATTCTGTAATATAAAAAAGTTAATAGTTTTATGTACCATATTAAGCGGCCAATTCTGCAATAACATAGCGTTGTTATGGCTGTGAAAATGTTTATCTATTTGCCGCGTGTTCAGGCGTATTTTACACATAAAACCGTATGTAACTAGTTGATATTGGTATTTTGCCTTGAGGCAAGTTACATGAACTTCCCGAAATGTGTAAATAATCGACTTATTCAATAAAAAATAAATTAATTTATGAGTGATTAAAAGTATTCCGAGTGGATTTATTATACAAAATAAAAAGCGAACGAACACGTTAACTCTGAGTGTTTTCTAAAGGCAAATTTTAACAAATCAATAATTTTTATAATTGTACCGTAGGACTTTAATGGTTTAGTATGTTCATTAAGACCAAGTACTAAGTAAATCGTCTAATTTTAATTTTAACGTCAAAAAACTGCTCATTTTCTCAAACTTTGATGATTTTTTTAAATTAAACTAGTTGTCGTAAGGCCGTAATATTTCAGTAAGACCATGATATATATCGCAAAAAAAAGTTCCATGAAAATCGGCTTAAATTTTTTTCAATAGTTCATTACAAGAAAACGGCTCGGTAGATTTTCACCTAAAATTAATCAGTACCATTCCCAACTAATATCTTTCGAACAGTTTTTGATTTTTTAAATCGATTCGGTAGTATGAGCTTAAATGTGGACGAAAAGTTTAACACTTTTTTTCAAATTATAAAGAAACGGCTTGACAGATCGTCGCACATAACTGACGAACGATAGTCCTTATCTAGATACATCGAATGGCTTTTAAATTTCTGTGATCGGTTCAGGCGTTTTTTCAGAAAACGTCACTTTATTGCAAAATCTGTTATCATAAGATTATTTCTTGCTTGTTTATATGTAAAATACGCCTGATCGCACAGCAAATAGATAGACATTTTCAATGTTTTTGGTTGCCTTTACAACGCTATGTTATCGTCTATGTAACCGCAGAATTGACTTCTAAATTAATTAGTAATAAATCATTCAAGTATTATTCACAATTTTAGATTTTAAATACTAGAGCCACTTGGGTTTTTTAAATAATTTTTATCTCTACTTTGTCCACCACTGCTTACAATTTCTATTGATAACTTTTCTGGGCGTCAATTTTCATACCAATTTTTAATCAGTTCTTTATTGCTTTCAGAATCGATCACAAGTTACTTTCTAATTAATTTTAATTTTTACATATAAAAATTAGAAAAAGATTAAATTTTATAAAAATGTGTTTATTTATATAATGAGTATTAATTAAACTTAGTCTCATAATTATTAATTATGGATAAATTTCTAATTTATAGTTTAAGTTGGACGTTGATTTTTATAACTTTTCAAAAATGTGTGCTCTGTGATTTATACGGAAACCAGTAAGTACATAGCATATAGTTAGAAATATATATATATATATATATATATTACTTGTAATTAAATATATTTGTGCATTTAAAATGATTTTTGCTAATTTAAAAATAAACTCACTCAGTCAATGATGAAGATGTACAATTTTCTTGCTTTACTTTTTACATTTAATTCTATTTATATATAATTGCATATAATATGAGTTAAAATGCTTTTTAAGTATAAGCTACAAAATATTTTTTTTTTTTCTTTTAGTCCGAAAATAAGAACAGAAAATGGAAATTTATTAATTGTTTCTGCAGAATCAAAAAACATAACATTTCACACTGTCGGAAATGGAGCTGTAAATTTGAATAATATTAATATAATAACTGTTATAGATAAGGTAAGCCGGATAAATTAATTTATTATTTTATATTTAACCCTTTTGCTATGACGTCGTCTATGGGCGACAATCACATGACTATCTGTGTGTACGAGTGTCGCCTATAGAAGATATTTGCATATATATACATACATACATATATATATATATATATATATATATATATTTATTTTTTGTTATAAACAAAATGCTCTAATTTGATACATACCAAAAATTCAAACTTATGAACAATCAGAACGTGAACAACTTCATAACATAAGTATATTGTTCAATTTTAGCCACAGTTAATCAGGATACATTTTGAAAAATCATTTTTAGTTGAATTATTGAAAATTCTAACGAGTTATTTATTCATAATTTGTAGTCTGTTAGAAGTGTACTTTTCAATTTTTAATACATTTTAATTGATAAGAATTGCAAACTCTTGTCTAACAAATACTTGGTCGGCTTGCTGGCACGTACAGCAGTGCAAAAAAAAATTGTAGCGAAAGGGTTAATAAATAAATAAATTGCAACAATATTATATATTGATATTTTTATTATAAACAAAATGCTCGAATTTCATTTATACTAAAAATTCAAATTTATAAACAATCGTAGTGCGAATAACTTCAGAGCATAAGTATATTGTACAATTTTAACGCCAGTTAATTAGGATTCATTTTGAAAACTATCTTTAATTGAATTTTGTTGTTTTGTATACCAAATATTTGTTTATATACATATTTAAAAAAATTAAATTTAAGCGATAATATTTTTTATTTTAAACAAAATGCTCTAATTTTATTCATACCAAAAATTCAAATTTATGAACAATCGTAGTGTGAACAACTTCATAGCATAAGTATATTGTACAATTTTAACGATAGTTAATCAGGACACATTTTGAAAAATGTCTTTAATTGAATTTTGCTTGCTTTGTATACGAAATACGTGTTTTTATATTTAAAAGTTTCAAATTCAAGCGATATTATTTATGTTATTTTTTATTATAAACATAATGCTCAAATTTACTTATACTAAAAATTCAAATGTATAGATATGTGTAGTGCGAATAACTTCACAGCGTAAGTATATTGTACAATTTTAACGTCAGTCATTTTGATAAACTATCTTTAATTGAATTTGTTTTGCTTTGTATACCAAATATTTAAATTCAAGCGATATTATTTATTTATTTTGTCTTCTCAAATACTTAAATTATACTAAAATACAAATTTATAAACAATTGCAACGTGAACAACTTCACAGCATAAGAAAATTGTTCAATTTTGACTGATATTTTGGTTTTTATACTTAATAATTGTATCTATATTAAATTTAAGCAATAATATATATTATGCTATTTCAATATAAACAAATTACTTAGATTTTATTAAAAAAATGTCTTATAATATTATTATTAAACTAAAAATTCAAATTAAAGAATAGTGTGAACAACTTCAGAGTGTAGCCATGTTGAATATAAACGACATACAATCAGCATCCATTTTGAAAATATATCCTTGACACTTGTCGTTTGTTATTAGCTTTTACTACTTTATTACTTATTATTATACTATTCCAATTACATCGTTATTTTCTCTATTAGGCAATAAATGTGTCCAGAAATCTGGAGCGCCTGTTATCAGAATCCGATGGCAGTACAGCAGATTTTATTCGACGGATATCAGACATCATAGACGGTCCCAGGGGGCTCATCAAACGTGTTAACAATCTCGAAAATGGGACGCTCAATAATTCGATATCGAGGACTGGACTTGCTAGAGTAAGTTAGAGATAACACAGTAAAAAAAATATGAATTTAATTTGGTACAACAGAAATGATACATGAAATATTGATATTGTTTGAGGTTAGATTCATAGAAGTCTTTTAAGTGGTAAGTTGACGAAGAATAAATAGTTCTTTCTTATATGTGAAGGAATGGACATGAGTCGACTTATATCACATGGAGTTGTTTCATTAAGATTATCGAGTACTTAAGGTACACAAATAAAAACAATTTTAAACTGTAAAGTATAGACAGTTTTTACTTTCATTCCATCTTGTCGATTGCAAAACTTGACACAAGAACTTATCATTGAGAATAACTCTACCTGCAGCTAAATAATTTAGTTCATATATTTATTTCTTATTTCCTTCGATACTATTACATATGTCAAATAATTATATTTCATTTACATTTTTACAGAATAGAAGATTTTTAGCACTAGGTCGACGTATAACAAGTGTAGAACGTCGTCTAAATCGTTTGGTGACTTTATTGAACAAAAATGAATGTGCCTCGAATCCTTGTAAACATGGTGCCACTTGTCAAGATCTTTATAATGGATTTATTTGTAAATGTGCTGAAGGATGGCAGGTAAACAATAATATATATATATATATATATATATATATATATATATATATAAGTGTGTGTGTGTGTGGATTTTTAATGTATTTTTCCTTTACCCAGGGTGCTACATGTGAGCAAGATGTGAACGAATGTGCAATCTTTGCAGGAACTGATTTAGGCTGCCAGAATGGGGCTACTTGCACCAACAAACCTGGTACTTACGAGTAAGTAATAACTGACTAATAAGCCTTCTTGATACAATAAGTGAATTATTATTCAAATTTATTTCTCTTTGTAGATGTGTATGTCCAACTGGTTTCTACGGAACCCACTGTCTACGCAGAACCACTGATTGCAACTCTGGAA